ATATGAGTTCGACTTCATTCAAACTACGACGGGATCCTACTTCGACGATAGTTCGACGCAACATCCCAATGGCCAAGGCCATCGATGAAAATATGAGTTCGACCTCGTTCTAACTACGATGGGATCCTACTTCGATGATAGTTCAAAGCAACATCCCAATGGCCAAAACCATTGATGAAAATATGAGCTCGACCTCATTCGAACTACAACGAGATCCTACTTCGATGATAGTTCGAAGTAACATCCCAATTTCCAAGTCCATCGACGAAGATATGAGTTTGACCTCATTTGAACTACGACGGGATACTACTTTGACGATAGTTCAAAGCAACATCCCACTGGCTAGGGCCATCGATGAGAATACGAGTTCGACTTCACTCGAACCACGATGGGGTCCCGCTTCGACGATCGTTCGAAAGTAGCACCTTAAAGGCTAAAGCCACTGCCAAAAGAAAAAGGAATCGACCTCACCCGAAAGCTAAATAGGCCTGACAGTTCAACAGGTACCCCGTATACCATAGATATTGCAAAGATCATCACTGAATCGACAAAACAAATCATACATTACATCAAAATTATACCTATCTTTACAAACGGGCTCAAGCATGCTCCTTACAAAAGTCCCAAAATAAAAAGTAAGTACAAATAAAAAGTTACACGTCATTCCCGATTGGGCACGCATCTTCGTACCAAGAGTCAGAAGCAAGATAATTCGTATTATCAGAGTTGATGTCACCCCCGTCAGGTGTAAGAGGGTCGTACCCGCATGCCTTTCGAGCTACACAAGTTTTGGCATGCACGACCTGAACTTCTGCGTCAGTTGCCCTCTCTTCGGCATGAAAAGCCTTGTACACATCAAGTTGGGCCTCAGCATGGACCCACAACTCATATAAGTGATGAGGCACGACCGGATCGGCCGAGGTGCGAGTCTTAGAAGGTTGTGAGCGTTGACTTGCATCCTCCGCTCTCAGCGAGGCCACTTGTCCATTCAACACAGATAGCTCTGCCTCTAACTCCTTAACACGCCCCTCAAGCCCCGCGACCTTAAGCTTAGAGGCCTCCTTCTCCATGGTTAGCTCCAACCTACAAACACAGAGGGTATTCTCCAAGGCCGCCGTTCTAGAAATAGTCGTCGCCAGCTTATCAACACCAACGCCCAGTTCGACCTTAAGCCCCTCAACCCCCACCGCCTTCATACCTAATTCAGCGGTCAAACTGGCTACCTTTGCTTGTAAATCAGCATTCTCGGCCATCACCCCCTGCTTAACTCAAGCTCATCCTCCTTCACCTTAAGGGAGGCCTCAAGTTCGCTATTGCGAGCGACAACCTTCATAAGCTCCTCATCTCGCTCCCTTAGCTCCTCGACCTTGCGCGCTAGTTGGTCCTCCCTCTATTTGAGTCCTTCGTAGAACAACTAAAAATCAGGGTCCTAATTATATATATCGGTCATTGCACGATGCTTAGTGCGATATTGTTGATATTTGGAATACATCTTCCCATAAATGGCTGTCCTCTCCTTTTCCCGATGCTCGTGCTCGGTCTCCATGATAAGGGCCTAACAAAAAAAGAGCAAGTTAAAGACAAAAACACAGGTCGATAATCACGACGTAAGCCCAAGGGACGAAAAGGGAAATAAAAGCACCTACCCGTAAGGCCATACCGGCCGTTCTGAGACAACTCCATGTCGCTCATCGCCCTAAGCACCTCACTCTTAGGGGAAACACATAGAGGCGCTAAAAAAATGCCACTTGATCGCAGCTCGGCAACAAGTTGTAGTCCCCCGAGATAACTATGTGATGATCAGATCCTTCCACTCTGACCTCTATGTGAGTTTGGTGACATACAAACTCGCAAACGTCCTCCGGGTCGACATCTGAACCTGAGCCTTCGTCTTTGACACGTCGGCCATAAATGTGGGAATAGGTGCCATCTGCGACGTCCTAATTCTATCAGCGTCCACGGCCACATCCTTCCCAAGTTCCATTCTCCCCCTTTTTCTAGACAACAACTCGTCCCCGTTAGAGGATTCATCCAAGAGATACGGGGTCGGTACTGAAGAAGCCTCCTCCCTCACGACCATGTCCTGAGAGGAACCTTCTACTTGAATCGGTTAAGGATGACCACCTCGAACAGACTCATACAAAGTAAACTACATTCCTCCGGCAGTGACGACCTGTCGGAATGCAGGGACTAGCGCCCTCCGCCTGGAAGCTCCTCGACCTGTCATCATTAAGAATCGTATCAATAGACGACGACATATAACCGACAAAGCAATAATGGGGGAAACATTTACCGGATGGAATGCTCGGGCCATAATGTTTTATGAAGGCGGGCCAATCTCGAGTTTTCACTGTATGGAGCAACAGACGGGCTACCCAATCCCTTATGCCAGCAATAGGGCGGGGCGGACGTCCCATAGCTGCAAACAAGAAATAAACAAACACTATAATGAATATAGATGAAGGAAGAGTAAAATGAGTGGTGACACTTACGAGTCTCGTTCCACTGCTCCGGGAACCTGGCGGAGTCAGAAATAATGTGTTCAGTTTTGACATAGAAATACTTATGCCAAAACTTGCGACTTGCTTGGTCATTGGTCCAATCACCAGTCCTTTTGTGCCACGGTGCCTCAAATGCACCATAGTACCCCTGTGGAAGCTGGGCGAGAACAGGTGCAAGAGGTGATGGATAGAAACATCGCATTCTGCCAACTCCGCATACTTGGTCAACAACAGAAGTATCTTGAGCGTATATGGTGAAAGTTGTGCCGGGCAAACTTGGTAGAACCTACAGAACTCTTCCGCTAATGGGAGCAGGGGAAAAGAATAGCCAATCACGAAAGGATACTCGTAGAAAGCGCAATACCTAGGTCTGTGGACCTCTAAGAAATCCCTTCCCGCTGGAACCATGTCAACATGAGCGGGAATGCCATACTTTGCACGAAGAGCGTCAGTGTGAACTTGTTCCGTTTCAGAAAGTACGGGGGTAGGAGTAGAAGGAGGATCTTTGAGGAAGTCGCTTCGAGACATGGGGTGTCTCGGCAGTAACTCCTCCACCGTAGGAAGACTATCCCCTTCTTCTACCACCATATCCTCACCGCCTGAGAGGGGCGCCATGGACAACGGGGTGCCCTCAGAAACCCCTTCACGAGATCGATGTGATCTTGGCATGTTTCGAAGAAAGATATGTTAACGCAGCAAAAAAGAAGAAGTTATGAACAAAGAATAAGAGGAGAAGAAGCAGAAGGCTGTTAAGACAAACTCGGAGGAATGAGGAGGGGTAATCAGAAATGAAATGGCCAAATTTTTTTTGAAAAAAACAAACCCTCCACCTATTTATAGGATTGGGTGGCGCCAGAATCGAAGCGGAAGGTCGTAGAATGGCACCGAAATCGAAGCAACAACCATCAATCCCTCTCTCGGAAACACGCATAATGATGCGTACGTGAAGATAACGTCATTTTCCGGTAAAGTGCATTACCTGGTGTCTTGCTAAGCACGCTGACCACCCACCATTGGCCAGGCCGTAACGCCTCGTACGGTCAAATTTCTCCATAAGAACGCATGATGTCCGCTCATCGAGGACGCACCAAGTTGCAACCTGGACAAGCGGAGGGACTAACTGTATGGGTCCAAATTTGAACAACCCCGACCGTTGATAAATACGACGAACGACGCGATCCTCATAGCTCCACATCTTGCAGAGGACGACCTTAAGGCGAACAAGAAATTGTACGACCCTTGCAACGGTGCAGGCCCATTAGGAATATCCTNTCCTAACACATAACATTTGTTGTAAACTTGCTTACAAAAGCGACTGAGAGGATTATCGTTAAAATGGGTTTTTGGTCTCGATAAAGAATGTTCATTACCCGTATTCTCCTTATCTATCTTTTGTTCTAGGGATTATTATACCTAGCTAAGATTTACCCCTTTATTTTCTTTGATTGATTTATTCAAAATGAGTCAAACTGAAATAGTGGTAGTATCTCTTAGCTTAGTACATTTATAATTTTATAAGTTTCGCCTTTTTGTAATGGGAGCCAAATCATATGACTATAAAATTGGAATGGATCTTTTTCCGTTACTATATAATAATACCAGAAAGTCCCCATGTAAAATGCGTGCTTTTGAAACAATCAATTAACCTCCAAAGACACAAACACTGCACATAAATTCTAAGTGAAAAAATCCACATTAATTACACTAAGCATATGTAACGTGACTTAATTGTATATACATTGTTATGTATTTTTAAATCAAATAGTTACCCTCCTATACTATAAAAATTCTACAAAATATTAGTTTGGATAATATCTTAATTGAATTAAGTGTTTAGGTTCGAAATATTAGATAGATCCATAACTAAGTATCACGAAATGTAATGTACAAATTAAATTACATGTAAAAAGTTTCAATTAGTTTATGAAATTTAAGAGGACAAACAATTTTTTTGAAAAGTTATTACTCACGCCTTTAATTAAAAAAGAAAATAGATACTTTCTTAAATAGGAAATGACAATGGAACAAAAGTAAAAATAAATAGGAAATGACAACATATTACTTAGTACGTGATGAGTACCATTTATTAATATAATTTTCTTGCAGTTAAACATTTAAGCTGCTTGTATTTTTTAAAATCAAAATATTTTATTATATAAACATTTCTCATTCCTTAGTTTAGTTGGCTTATTCATTGTTCTGCTTGAAATTTTCTTAAATTTAGTTAGTTAAATGAACTTCCTTTCTGGAAACTTTTCATTATATTATGGGTTTAATTTTATTTTATTTTTAAAAATTAAAGGATGACGTCATCATATTTGCATAAGATTTTCATAATATGGGACTATCAACAACAACAACAACAACAACCCAGTGTAATCCCACAAGTGGGGTTACACTGGGACTATAAGTGATTGATTTCAAAATATAAAAGGTGTATTTGCATTGTGTAGTCGTATTATGTGGGTGTTTAGTGTAAATAAAATAAAAAGACTAGCTCATTTGCTCTTCAACGTACCCGCTCCAAATCTGCTGAGGCCCAAAACGGCAAATCAGTTTAAACTTTCAAGTTTCAACAGATTTTCCACCATACGACTGAATTAGCAATACGAAAATTCAAACGCAATTGCTGGATTTGGCTTGGGCAATAATAATGGAACCTCCGTTCTCATCGAGAAGAGTTGATACAGAAGATCACCGCGAACTGAATTTTGGAATTAGAATCCCTTGGTTTGATTGTAATCAGTAAGTTATTATTGTTCATCAGCCGAGTTTCTGTTTTGACTGCTTAATTTGTGGATTTGATTCCCTTTGAAAGTGATAGGGAGGAGATATTGCTAGTAAACTTGTCTCCATATCAGTTATGTAGATGTTCTTACCGGGGTTTATAATGTCACCCATTGCAATAAGATTTTGGGTTTGATGCTCACGGTATCACATTCTTATTTTGATTAATTTCATTTTCATAACCAGTCTTCTCTTTACCTATTCTATTGTTTTGCCCCACTCTCCCAATTCTGTCCATTGTGCTACTAACTCTGCCCCACTCTTCAACCTGTTGAGTTATTTCACTCCTTTAAAAAAAAAAAAAATCCATTCTTTACGTATTGTAATGTTTTGGGTCCCTCTCTGCATCAAGTCAGTCCACCGAGCAACTAACTCTGATTAACACACACTTCTTAGCCTGTTATGCCTACTTTCTTTACTCCAACTATATTCTTCTACCTGTTGAGTCATTTCAGTTTTTAAGAAAAAAAAAGGAGTTAAGATATGCGTGTGGAAGAAGTCATGAACTGCAATGCTGAGATTCTATCATTTATGTAAACTATAAATCTTATTTCTTGGAAACGATCACATCCGCCAGACTGCCTCTTCGTTTGGCAGCATGTTAATCATTTTGCTGGCACTATAATCAGTGGCGGAGCCACATACAGGTAAAAATAATTTTTATATATCTTTACTATGTATTGAATATCTCTTTTCGTCTCCTTGAGCCGAGGGTCTTTTGGAAAAACCCTCTCTACTCCACCGGGTAGGGGTAAGGTCTGCTTACATAGTTAAAATCCTAGCCACTTTGGCGCCCTTAGTTAAATTTTGGCGCCCTTAGTTATAATCCTAGCTCCGCTACTGCCTACCATTTTCTCTTGATGTAAAGAGATTATTGTATTGACCCCGCCGGCCATGTAATCCTAACCATTTTTTTTAGCATTTTTCATTGTTTCTTCCAGTTGCTCCTTATTATGTCTGTTTGCTTCATGTTGTCCCACTCTTTCATGTAAATCTTCCCAAAACAGATGATGATTCTAAACACGTTAACTCTGTCTAGTCTGTTGTTTCCATTGTGGCAGAGTTTAAGGCTGGCATGAGGCACACATCTCATGATGATGATCTCAAGCATCCCTTATAAAGACATGTTCTCTTTGCGGGGAATGGGTTCGTTGGTGCTGTTGATCGCAGCATAAACTTGGGTAAGTACTAACCATCTATAGGTGTGTATATATGAACAATGATAATCATGAATTCTCTTTTATATGAGATGGATAGACCTTCTCTTATATTTGAAGGAAGAAAAGTTAATTTGATGATTTTGTATTCACTGTCTACATTATAGAGCGGATGGACCTTTGGTCTGACACGTTAATCAGGAAAATTGATCCTTTATTTACTTTTTAATTTTAGCATTCTCATCCTTTTATTTTGATTGTCGTACCTTTTCTTTGTGGACTGGATTTACTTATGATTGGTCTTTGGTCGCTAGATGGTCTTGGGATTAGTTTCACAACCACCTTATCTATGTTCTTTTCTTGGTTCTTTCCTCGAGCCTTCTGTATTTTATTTTCAACCTGAACAGCACAACTGGTTTTATTTCTTTTGCGATTTTCTCTTCTTTATCTTATTGTTTGTTGATTTTGTTCGAACTCAATCTTCTTCTGTTTCAGCAAAATCTTACGTTCATCTAACTTATGTCCCTGACGAAGATAGTGTTAATCAAAGTCTGGAACTCCCCCATACTGCACCTCTTGCCAGAATCCCTCTTCTTTGGATTATCTGTCATTTCGATTCCACCCAAGTATTATTTTGTCGCCTTTGCCAAGTTGATCCCGATTCATTCCTTAGCCGCATTAGCTTGTGTCTTATATTGTGTAGCTACATTAGGGGCCAAAGAAACTCCAGTTACATAGAGTCAATAACTAAGAGTCTAAGACAGAGCATCTCATCTGTAAAGATGTCAGGGAAGATTGTATAATAATACTCATACTGGAGCCACAGAGGTCTCAACTTCCGGAACATAATCAGATAGCCACTTCAAGTTACATTTCAAAGCAAAAATGGAGCCAAAATTTCACTAAGGAGATTTATAATATAAAAAAATAAACACACGAAGAAGCCAAGGGGATTCAACATATAGTATATATACATAAAAAGATTTGTTTGCCAATCTACACTATGTTATTTTCCAACGAAGGGGTGTCAATTCGCTGCTGCATCAAAGCATTCAATCTTTGCAATCTCATGAAACACAAGGAATAATCGATGTCATTATCCAAGTATGACAAAGACATACTCGCATCAAAATAATTATCTCAATATTAACTTTAATTAGGATAAAAAGAAAAACATTAAGTAGGATCTGACTAACACCACTATTTCTAATTGCACCAAAATTAAGGTTTCCTTTGTTAGAACTTCACCATTAGAGTGAATCTACAATTCTACACCAAGTTCTCATAGTAATCTTTAGTTGTAAATTTGAATGCAAGATAGCTCATACATTTTTATTTGGTTACTGGAGAGATCTGAATTCTAAGATTTCCTGCTCCAGTTGGGTTCTTACAAGGAGCAAATGTGAAGTTTGATTAGATGTTGGGCTGTGTCAGATTGTGATTGAGTTGATTGTACGCTTGATAGTTGACCTGTGTGACCCTTAGCGATGGGCTGATAGTCCTTCCCACCCACCTTTGGCTGAGTAGTATCATTGCAGGTCAAGCAAAGCTAATCATATGATTATGTATGCCCTGAGCGTTCCCTCTTACAGGAACTAGCTGATTTCTAACGGTGTTTTCAACTGACCGAGAAGCTGTCAAGACATTGGAGATACATTGACTAGAAGTCGTTGAACAGTTAAAATTTTTAATTTTTTAATATTCAGTTTCTCAACTTAGAGGTCATTGCAATCCATCAAAGATAGTTCACGCAATTTTGTGGGAAGTAGTTTTCAAAGACAGTTCCTTCTCTTTTGGAAGGAATACTTCTGTTGAAAATTCTCAACAAACGAGGGTTTTTATAGGGCTTCCATTGGTCGAATTACTTCGATATCTCAAAGAACTGGCTGTAGAATGGCTATTTTCAGAATATAATAATTTTTACGAAGCAGGGTGATCAAAAGCTCGACTTCTAATAGAGGAAAATGCGTTTTCTGATTAGTGATTTTCGCTAGAGTTTTCGATGGATGGCCGTCGGATATTTAAAATATCACCTGATCAGTCACCATTTTCTCCATTTAGTAAAGAAAATCTAAAGACTGTTTCCCTCTTGTCCCCATAAACATTGCCACTCACCACTCGTCTCTCGTGATCGGCAACTAGCTAGTAACTCTTCATTCCTCTGACTGTTGATTCAAATCTATTTTCCATTTTCTTGTTTCTTGATTAGACATTTAAGAGAATAATGTTGATAACATGTTTGATATACTGATGCTTTGTCAATATTATGTAAATTGCTCAATATTATGATTGGAGCATTCTTGTTCTAGTTTCAGTATTCTATAAGATTCAACAAGATGAGCTTTCTTTTAATGGCCATATATATCAGATTGGCTATCAACTTTTGAGTATAGAAAAGTTTAATGTTTATCTCAGTAGAGTTGCATGGCTGAGGTGGGCTGATGAAATACAAATTCAAGGTGGACTTGCCCATGAAATTCAAAGATATAACACTGCAGTGATGTAATCTGATTCATTATAGCAGTAGAAAGATGAAAAACTATAGTGATGAAAATTAGTTAATGTCTTTATTTGTCAATATTGCTTCTCAGATGGAGGGATTACTGGCTTTAGCTTGGAAGTTTGGTTTGCAATGTCTTTTGCACATCCAGAAGTCCAGGGGGAGCTCTGGGCGGAGACGACATACGTAAGTTTACAATTCAGTCAGAAATTTCATTTTCTAATCATATATGATTTAGATGTGTTGTTCGATGTGTTGTCAGGTTGTTTGATGCGTTATATAACTCTACCGAAATTTTGCAGCGAACCTCGTTATTTTGATATGTTATTTTATAATAAGGAAAACTAATGCACATTATAGGATGAAGTTACGCCCAATTATTGGATAACCTTTGCCGAAATTCCCAAAAGATATCTTACTCGTCTTCTAAGTTCTAACTTATTCCGAATATTTCGTTAGACGATGAATCTAAATGGAGTTTGGAGCAGCTTAGGATAGGTTGCTAATGTACATTAGATAGATTGTATTCAGTAGACATATATTTGATGTTTAATACATTATTTCAGCATTCCTTAATAGCAAATTACCTATATTTTTGTGTTTCTAAGAGGCATTGAGCTTGCAGTATGTCCATTAATTTTAAAAATGCCCAATGAGGTAGTAAATTTCTCAGTTTATCAATGGTATACCATTATTTTCGAGGGGAAAACAGTAAAAAAGGGACTAAAACTGCCAAAAACCCATATTTTTGTACGGCGAAACCATTGAAACATTAATCGTGGAGAATGTCACAGTTTTTGACTGTTAAGCCGTTGAAAAGTTTCTTATTTGCAATCATCAGTATATTCCGATGGGAAACTCGCTGAAAGTTGAGCAAAAGTTTCCCGTCCACAATTGTTGGTGGCCTGTATGTTGAAAATATTACTCCCTCCATTTAATTTTATATGAACTTGTTTGACTAGACACGGAAAGACTTTTGAAATTTGTGATCTTACACATGCCACGACATTTGTATGGTTATAAAATTTTTGGAACTTGTGGTGTTAAACATGTTATGACAGTTATGTGGCCGTAAGATCATGCCTTTAAGGGTAAATTTAGAAGTTTAAAGTTAACTTATTTTCAAATATAGAAAGAGGTCATTCTTTTTGGAATAGACTAAAAAGGAAAAGTGTCATGTAAGGTAGAATAGAGGGAGTAAATGTTTTCATGGTTCTTTGTTTTGTCTGGCAAGTTGTCGAAAACTTACCAAATTGGCAGATCCTCTATGATTATTCTATGTTTTTGACCGTCAATCCACTGAAAAATGATTGTTTTCTCATGACACAATATATTCGATACATTTATATTTGTATTCAATTTTTAATAAAAAAATCCATTAGAAAATGATATCAATTTTTATGTTTTCCGGCAGGTGCACTGTCAAAGACTATTGCCAAACATCACATCCTTTTAACCTTACTTTCGTCGGGCAATTTCTCCTTTTACATTGCAAAAGCCTTTGATAATTTTCAACCCTTGATCAAAAAATCTTTTAGATAAGCATTATTTTGAAGGAAGCTTTTTCTAGGAATAAACGTCGTAAAATTTTAGTTTTCCGAGGATTTTCCGGCGGTTTGGGTTGTTGAAAAATTGACCAGTTTCTTGTAGTGTGAGCCTTTAGAGTGTCCCTTTCTACACAATTGAGGATTGAATGATTGACACAAAATATTACTCCATCCCATTTTATGTGAATGTGTTTAACGAGACTCATTTGCTCACAATATAAGAAATTAAATAAGACTTGACTTCTAAGCCATACACAAAGTACCAGACTTATCCTTTTAAGTAAATGGTGGTGAGAGTTTCACTCTGTTCATTTTCTCTCTCCTTATAAAAAATAAACTTTTATATTAGATGGGTCATAACAAGTCATGTCATTAAGATAAATAGAGATGCTAACATTATATAGGTTCCAAAAGAAGAAGTGTGTCATTCTTTTGGACTGGCTGAAAAGGAAAGTGTGTAATAAAATGAAACTGAGGGAGTAGCTACAATATCAAGGCTGTTTGCGTTTCAGTTGACCACATTATTTAGATCCTTCCCTTCATCTGCCGACTCTTGGAAAGAAAGAAGGGTAGAGTTTCGCTTATTTTGTTTCCTCTCCTCTCTTCTTCTACTTCATGCTTTTCAACAGTTAGCAGACGCACCCCCGCACCAAAAACTTTAAAAAAAATATATAAATGAGATAATATAGTTAAGTATTAAAATTCTTATTGACAAATGTTAAATTTACTTCAATTTTTTACTTGCAAAATTTTTGTAATCAGGTGTTATCTATTATGTAGCGACTAATGATGACTATCTAATTCTTTATACAATAGTAAATTGTGTAAAAAGGATTTAATAATATTACCTTTTTAACCTTAATTATCAAAAGAATGTGTAAAAATGATATAGTTAGTGGTGTTCTAATGGATAAGTGTAAAATATAATACTCCTAATTGAAAAGTTATATGTCTTACACATTAATTAAATTTTCTCAAAGTTATTTTACTTAAACTAATTTCTATCTACAGTCATTTACTTACACGAGGCGTGACTCTTTTTCTTGGGTCAAGCATGTGAAAATTCTGATTTCTGACTACAGTCATTTGCTTACATGAGGCTTGACTCTATTTCGTGGGCCAAACACATGAAAATTTGTTTGATGATAAATGATAGTGAGATTTGAACTCTGGACCTTTGCTTGATCTAATACTATGTTTAAGAGTGTTACCATCTCATTTAAATGCTTAAATTTTTAGAGAGAGCACAACTCTAATTACTGTATTATAGAGGAATGTTGTGAAAGAAAAAATGCACTAATGAAATTCAGATAAGGTCACATACTGTACTTTGAGGACAGTTTACTTAAAATTAAAACCATTATCAACTTGCCAACCATCAAATTAAAGCCTTATCAAACAAGTGAATAAATTGGAAACTGTTAGTTAGTTTAGAATTATATATATAAGTCTAGTCCCACATTGGAATAAGAATAATATGTACTTTGTAGTAGAGCTATAAATAAGACTTCTTCTATTATATTGAAAGACGAATATATCAATAATAAGATTTTTCTCCCGTGCATTCTCACATGGTATCAGAGCAATCGTGAGAAATTTATCGCTGTGCATAAATTCCAGCGACTCCGGAGAGAAAATAGTCAACCGGAAGCCCTTTTTCCGGCAAAAACAGGTTTGTCCGCAAGAACCATACTATCGGTCAGTGTTGTGCAAAAACCAACACCATCATGAAGTAGATCAGAGTTTGGCGACCAATCCTCAGAAAAATCTCCGGCAGAAAAGCACCCACGCACAACTAGAAGAAGTTTTCCAGCGAAGTTCCGACGTCCACGCGCCGGCGCGTGAGACTGTTTCCGGCCATATAATGGGGAAATTTCTTCTGAACAGTCTCTTCTCCTCGCAAATCTGAGCCTACCCATCCAATTAAAATCAAATTCCGATCATTTTTATATTTTTCTAGCGTGAATCGTGAGTTTTTCGACGAGAACAATAATTCCAGAAAGAAAAAAAAGAATTCTGCTTTTTCGGCGCAATATTATAATGGCATTCATATCAGAAGCCTTTAACTCACAATCCGTTGGGTCCAATGCATTGAATCCAATCCAGATGGTTTCTTTATCAGATTATATGGAGTTCCTTCAGTACAAAGCATGTAAACAGACATCTTCAGGGATAACTTCCATTGTTCAAACATATAGTAGCATGACTTGTGTCTCCGAATCTTCAACCTCTGAGTCTTGGGTCATTGATTCAGGTGCATATGATCATATTTCTGGTAACTAATCTCTTTTCACTACTATTTCATATTCTCAATCTCTCCCAACAGTCACAATGGCCAACGGGGTCTCAAACCATGGCAACTAGAATAGGTCAAGCAAGTCCACTTCCTTCCTTACCTTTAGATTCAGTTCTTTATATCTCTGGTAGTCCTTTTAATCTCATAGCCATTAGTCACTTAGCCAAAATCACTTAAATGCTTTGTTTTATTTTTTGATGACCTTGTTTTTGTACAGGAACGCAGTACAGGGCGGATCATTGGTATCGGGCGTGAATCAGATAGACTTTATTACTTTATCCTTGCAAAATCACATGGACTCACATCTTGTCTTCCTTCAGCAACTTGTCCTGTTACCGATTCACCAGATTTATTATATAAACGGTTGGGACATTCAAATTTGTCAAAACTTCAGAAAATGGTACCTCGTTTATCTCACTTGTCCACTCTAAAGTGAGTCATGTCAGCTCGGTAAACATACCCGCTCCCATTTCCCTCGGCGTCTTGATAATCGAGCAAAGTCACCTTTTACTTTTATCCATTCAGATGTTTGGGGTCCTAGTCGGGTCAGTTCTACCTTGGGATTTTATTACTTTGTCAGTTTCATTGATGACTATTCCAGGTGCACTTGGATATTTTTGATGAAAAATCGATCCGAGTTGTTTTCTATTTTTCAGACCTTTCACGCTGAAATTCAAAATCAATTTGGGTTTTTTATCCGCACATTTCGTAGTGATAATGCCCTAGAGTATTTGTCTTCCCTATTTCAGCAATTTATGAACTCTCATGGAATTATTCATCAAACATCTTGTCCGTACACATCTCAACAAAATGGGGTAGCTGAAAGAAAGAATAGACATCTTATTAAAACTGTTCGTACCTTACTCATACAATCTCATGTCCCGTTGCATTTTTGGGGGATGCAGTTCTTACATCTTGCTATCTTATTAATCGTATGCCATCTTTAGCTGTCCAGAATCAAGTTTCATTCTCTATTCTATTTTCCTACTTACCGTTGTTCTCTTCCACCCTGTATCTTTGGAAGCACGTGTTTTGTTCAAAACCTTGCTCCAGGAAAAGATAAGTTAGTTCATCGTGCTCTTAAGTGTGTATTTCTAGGTTACTCGAGAACGCAAAAAGGGCATCGATGCTATTCTCCTGACCTCTAACGGTACCCTATGTCCGTTGATGTTACCTTCTTTGAAACCCAATCATACTTCACAGGTCCAGGTAATCACTTAAATATTTCTGAGGTGCTACCAGTTTCATCTTTTGGAGATTCAGTCACCATCTCCCATTCATTTTCCTCTGCAACTCCAGCTCCACCACTTACAGCTCTAGTTGCAGCTCCACCACCTATAGCTCCAGCTCCACTACCTACAACTCCAGTTGCAGCTCCACTACCTATAGCTCCAGCTCCACCACCTATAGCTCCAGTTCCACTACCTAGTCCAGTTCAACCTCCTGCAGCTCCACCACTCTTGACTTATCATCGTCGTCCACGTCCAGCATCATGCCCAGGTGATTCACGTCCTGCATCAGATTTTGCACCTACTACGGACTTGTCTCCTCTTAGTCAACCAATTGCACTCCGCAAAGGTGTACGACCCACACTTAATCCTAATCCCCATTATGTCGGTTTAAGTTATCATCGTCTGTCATCACCTCATTATGCTTTTATATCATCTTTGTCCACTATTTCTATCCCTAAGTCTATAGGTGAGGCACTATCTCATCCAGGATGACGACAGGCTATGATTGACGAGATGTCTGCTTTACATGCGAGTGGCACTTGGGAGCTTGTTCATCTTCCTTCAGGTAAGTCTACTGTTGGTTGTCGTTGGGTTTATGCAGTCAAAGTCGGCCCGGATGACCTGGTGGATCGGCTTAAGGCTCGTCTTGTTGCAAAAGGATACACTCATATTTTTGGACTTGATTATAGTGATACTTTCTCTCTCGTGGCTGAAGTAGCATATGTTCGTCTCTTTTTGTCCATGGCTGATGTACGTCATTGGCCTCTTTAACAGTTAGACATTAAGAATGCTTTTCTCCACGGTGACCTTGAGGAAGAAGTTTATATGGAGCAACCACCTGGTTTTGTTGCTCGGGGGGTCAAGTGGTCTTGTATGCTGATTGCGCAGGTCACTATATGGTTTGAAACAGTCTCCTCGAGCTTGGTTTGGTAAGTTCAACACAATTATTTCAGGAGTTCGACATGACTTGTAGTGAAGCTGATCACTCTGTGTTTTATCGGCATTCTGCTCCTAATCTGTGTATTTATCTGGTAGTTTATGTTGGCGATATTGTTATTACTAGCAATGATCAGGATGGTATTACTAATCTGAAGCATCATCTCTTTCAGCACTTCCAGACTAAGGATCTGGGCAGATTAAAGTATTTTCTAGGTATTGAGGTTGCTCAATCTAGCTTAGGTATTGTTATTTCACAGCGGAAGTATGCATTAGACATTCTTGAGGAGACTGGAATGATGGGCTGCAGACCTGTTGACGCTCCAATGGATCNCCAAAGTGGTACTGTCAGAATTTTTTTTTCCTGACAACTTTCATTTTCCAAGATCACTGTTCCGACACTGTTCACTGTACTGTTCACTGTTCAAATATTACTATTCACTGTACTGTTCAAATATCACTGTTCACTGCACTGTTCTTGACTATTTGATTCTGCTATTATGCGGGTGCAAGATGACTGAAACGAAACCTACCGTTGATGTCATTCCGGTTATGTCTAACATTACGGAGAATAAGTTCATGGGTTCCAATTACATGGATTGGAGTAAGACGATCCGTCTCTATTTGCGGAGCATCGACAAAGAGAACCACTTGGTTGATGATCCACCCAAGGATGAGACTAAATCAGTCTGGTTAAAGGAGGATGCAAAATTGTTTCTCTAAATCAAGAATTCGATGCACAGTGAGGTAAATGATCTAGTTTCTCATTGTGATTATGTGAAGGATCTAATGGATTATTTAGATTTTTTGTACTCTGGCAAAGGAAACTTGTCTCGCATGTATGATGTGTGCCAGGCATTTTACCATCCATCCATGCAAGATCGCTCTCTCACCACTTACTTCTCAGAGTTTAAGAAGGTGTATGATGAGCTTAATGTTATATTGCCGTTTAGTCCAGATGTGAAGGTACAACAGGCTCAGCGTGAACAACTGGCGGTCATGAGTTTCCTTTCTGGTCTTTCTCCCGAATTTGAAGGGGCCAAATCGCAGATTTTATCTGGGACTGCTATCTCTTCCTTGAAAGAGGCCTTTACAAGAGTGTTGCGTACTGAAAAGTCTCATCCAGGTCCGACAGCCACGATCGATAGTGGTGCTCTGCTTAGCCGCGTCCAAAAGAATAAGAGTCATAGTAATCGCAATCGGAGTAGCGATAGTCGAGACCTAAAGCAAGGGGAAGTTGAATGTTTTTATTGTCATGAGCTCGGTCATACCATACGTTATTGTGTGAAGCTTCAGAATAAGAACAAAAGATCTCAGTATGCCAACATCGCCACTTCCGAGACTATTTCACCATCTCAGTCATCATCTCCTCCTATCAATACTATCCCCGAGTCAGGTAAAACCACTAAGTGTCTCCTCTCTTCGTCATCCAAATGGGTCATTGATTCTGGTGCCACAGATCATATGACAGGTAACTCTAAACTCTTTTCCACTTTTCAGTCACATACCCAATGTTCCACAGTTACTTTAGCCGATGGGTCTACCTCATATGTTTTAGGGTTTGGCACTGTTAACCCAACATCTTCTCTTTCCCTTAGTTCCGTCTTAAATTTGCCTGATTTTTCTTTCAATCTAATATCTGTCAGTAAACTTACTCGTACTCTAAATTGTTGTGTCTCATTTTTTCCCAATTATTGTCTTTTTCAGGATCTTACGACGAAGCAGATTATTGGTAAAGGTTCTGAGTCTGGGGGTCTCTATGTTCTTGAATCACAGGTGCCGAAATCCATTTCTTGTTCAACTGTGTTGTCTCCCTTTGATGTACACTGTCGATTGGGTCATCCATCCTTGTCTAGTTTGAAGAAGTTATATCCTCAGTTTCAGAGTATTTCCTCTTTAGATTGTGAGTCATGTCAGTTTGCTAAACACCATCGCCTTCCTAAAGTTTCTAGAGTCAATAAACGGGTCGACTTACCTTTTGAGTTAGTTCACACCGATGTTTGGGGTCCATGTCCTATTATCTCTAAAACTGGTTTTAGATATTTTGTTACCTTTGTGGATGATCATTCTCGTGTTACTTGGTTATATTTAATGAAAAATCGTTCGGAGTTGTTTTCAATTTTTTGTGCTTTTTGTGCTGAAATAAAAACTCATTTTAATGTTTCCGTTCGTAATTTAAGGAGTGACAATGCAAAAGAATATTTTTCGGATTTGTTTAAAGATTATATGGCTACAAATGGTATTCTACATCAATCTTCTTGTGTTGACACCCCTTCTCAAAATGGGGTTGCGGAACGAAAAAATAGACATCTTCTTGAAGTAGGCCGAGCACTCCTCTTTCAAATGAAAGTGCCAAAATGTTTTTGGGCTGATGCCGTCTCTACAGCTTGTTTTTTAATAAATCGTATGTCATCTTCTGTACTTCATGGTAATATTCCTTACAACATTCTTTTTTCCTCTAAGCCATTATTTCCTATTGAACCCAAAATATTTGGTTGTACTTGTTTTGTTCGTGATGTTCGTCCACAGGTAACTAAATTAGATCCAAAGGCCCTTAAGTGTGTGTTCTTAGGGTACTCACGTCTTCAGAAAGGTTATCGGTGTTATTCTCCAGATCTCAAAAAGTACTTAGTGTCTGCCGATGTCACATTCCATGAAAATTATCCGTTCTTTTCTTTATATGTTTATAAGAGGAAGAAGATGATACTTTGGTCTACACTGTCACACATCCAGTTAGTTCTCCAACACCTCTTCCTCAGTCACCCGTTTCCCTCGATCGACCATCCGAGCAACCACCTGTTCTTCGTGTGTATACCAGGTGACAACAAACCTCAGAACCCGATCCTTTTCCTACTTCTGCTTCGTCGGTAGATCCAACCTCCTGTGTTTCAGATCCTAGTTTGGATCTTCCTATTGCCATTCGCAAAGGTTCACGACAATGTACTTATCCTATTTCTTGTTTTGTGTCTTATGACCATTTGTCTACTTCTTCTAGCTCGTTTATTGCATCATTAGATTCTGCTAGGATACCTAAAACTGTTCGTGAAGCATTGTCCCACCCAGGTTGGCATGATGCAATGATAGAAGAGATGATGGCTTTAGATGAGAATGGTACTTGGGAGTTGGCCGATCTGCCCACTAACAAAAAGGCTATTGGGTGCAAGTGGGTATTTGCTGTTAAGTTTAACTCCGATGGGACAGTAGCTCGCCTTAAGGCACGCCTTGTTGCAAAAGGGTATGCACAGACCTATGGAGTTGACTATTTAGATACTTTTTCCCCGGTCGCCAAGTTAGCTTCTGTTCGATTATTCATTTCCATGGCAGCTACTTATGATTGGCCTCTGCATCAGCTTGATATAAAGAATGTTTTTCTACATGGAGATCTTTAGGAAGAAGTATATATGGAGCAACCACCTGGGTTTGTTGCTCACNTTAGAACTGGAGATCAATTGGGAGACATTTTCACAAAAGCTTTGAATGGAGCTCGAGTTGAATACATCTGTAACAAGTTGGGCATGATCAATATATATGCTCCAACTTGCGGGGGAGTGTTGACATACAAGTTGTCTAGCACATATATACATATGTACTACATCATAGCTAGTACATGTATATGAGTTGTATAGTAGGTGTAATACAAGTTGTGTAGCACATGTATACACATGTACTACATCATAGCTAGCACATGTATATGAGTTGTATAGTAAGTGTAATTAGGTGTATGGCAACTAATAGATTAGGTGAATTAGTATTATAAATAAGCCTTGTAATCTTCTCTTCTAGATATGAAATATAGAACTTCTTTGATTTCTAACAGATCCGAATGTTAAGCTTCTGCCTGGACAGGGGGAGCCTCTTAGAGATCCTACGAGATATAGGAGGTTGGTTGGCAAATTGAATTACCTCACATTGAATAGACCTGATATTTCTTTTCCGATGAGTGTTGTAAGTCAGTTTATGGATTCTCCCTGTCATAGTCATTGGGATGCAGTTGTTCGCATTCTTCGGTATATAAAGTCAGCTCCAGGCAAAGGGTTACTATTCGAGGATCGAGGCCACGAGCAGATTGTTGGGTACACAGATGCTGATTGGACAGAATCACCTTCTGATAGACGTTCTACGTCTGGATATTGTATTCTAGTTGGAGGTAATTTGGTCTCTTGGAAGAGCAAGAAACAGAATCTAGTTGCTCGATCTAGCGCCGAAGCCGAATATCAGGTCATGGCTATGGGAATGCGTGAGCTAGTTTGGGTCAGTTGCTCAAGGAGTTGAAGTTCGGAGAAATTAGCAAGATGGAACTGGTGTGTGATAATCAAGTTGTTCTTTATATTGTGTCAAATCCGGTGTTTCATGAGAGGACTAAACACATTGAGATTGACTGTCACTTTGTCAGAGAAAAGATACTCTCAGGAGAGATTCTACAAAGTTTGTGAAGTCGAATTATCAGCTTGCAGATATTCTCACCAAGTCTCTCACTGGTCCTCGTATTGGTTATATATGTAACAAGCTCGGTACATATGATTTGTATGCAGCGGCTAGAGGGGGAGTGTTAGTTTACAGTTATGTATATAAGTCTAGTCCCACATTGGAATAGGACTAATATGTACTTTGTAGAGTATAGCTATAAATAGGGCTTCTTGTATTATATTGAAAGACTAATATATCAATAATAAGATTTTTCTCCCGTGCATTTTCACAGAAACCATTATGAACTAGCGAATCATCAATTTAAAGCCTTATCAAGAAAGTGGGTATAAATTTGAATACCTAGCCAGCCCAGTCTTTCATGGTGAAGTTATAGCTTTTACAAGCCTGTTAACGAAAGCAGATTTAAAAAAACAAATTCTGAAAGAGAAAGAAGATGAATGCGTGTAAATTATAATAGGTAGTGGAGTAGCGGCTGGTGAAAAGTATAGTAACAGAATTACTAAAAAGAATCTTAATATGCTAATGTAATGAGTGCTCTATTCTAATATGCCAAGAAAAATTTAGATATCTAACGGAACTTTTAATAAATATATATTTATGCCAATTTTTCGTGCTAATGTGTTCACACTTGATTGTACAAGTGGGAAAGGGGAACAATTTTTTTCTCTTTTTGGTCCGAGGACGAATATCTCTAAATCTGCCCCCTTTTCACTCTAAATAAACCATCTACAACACCGGTGGCGGTTGTCATTATTCAATTTGACCAAATACTTCATTTACTTTAGTTAGTACAATCTTCGTCACAGAGTCAACCTTTGCCAATCAATGGAAGTTGAGACACTCATAAACAAGTCAATCAGCATTTTGGTTGTGGATGATGATGTTGTTTGTCTTTCCATTGTTGCTATGATACTCAAGAAATGTAAATACCAAGGTATGCGCCAAATCTTTTTTGCTATGTCGTCTTTTTTTTCTTCCCCTAATTTGGGATAGTGTCTTGCATGCATGAATTGCTTTTCTTTATGTTAGATAGCCTTAACGGAGATCGATGTATCCTAGATTTGAAAGTGGTAAGCATTAGATCTTTAAGTAACATGACATGTGAATTCAAGTTACTTACCGGATGTACCAAAGTTATTCATACTTCCTATTTAGGAACAGAAGTGGAACGATTAATTTAAGGTGCCACTTCATTAGCACTTCTTTGGATTCGATGTGAGTATGACTTGCTGAAGAATGAAGGGGAATCACAACCAGTGCTTTAAGAGCCGTTTTTGCCCCGGAGCGGCATAGTAAAAAC